GAGATTATTTCAGGCAAGGTCACCTCCCTTCACAGGACGAAAGGGTCTTATTAGGTAGATTACCTCACCGTGCTGATCAGGAAATTCCAGACTGACTGGTTAAGCCTGCATTCCACGGGGAGGTTGGAACTACAATTAGGGCAGATATTAAGCCCTGATTTGGTGATGTGGCCAAGCACAGGGGACTCCATCTGGGACTCGTGGTTTTCCCTTCAACAATACCTTCACTCACACCGTCCTTTGCACCAATCTGTCCTTACCCCGTGTTCGTCTGGGGCCGTCACTAAGTGAGGAGCAAAGATTTATTTGCCTTCTGAGCATTGACAAACTCTTTGTGAAGGACCAAGTAGATATTTAGGCTTCGAGGACCATATGGTCTCTGTCACAACTAGTTAAGTCGTCCTTTCAGTGCAAAGCAGTGTAGACAACCCACTCATGGATGGCTGTGGCCACGTTCCAATAAAAGTATTCATAGACACTGAAATCTGAATTTCATACAATTTCACATGGATGTGCCATGGGATAGTCTTCTTTTAATTTTTTTTCAACCTTTTTTTTTTTTTTTTTAATTTGAGAGAGAGCGCAAGCCGGGGAGAGGGACAGAATCCCAAGCAGGCTCTGTGCTTGTCAGCGCAGAGCCAGACGTGGGGCTCGACCCCACCATCCTGGAATCGTGACCTGAGCCAAAATCAAGAGTCGGACACTCAACTGAATTGCCACCCAGGTGCCCCTCAACCACTTTTAAACGGAAGAACCGCTTTAGCCTGCGGCAGTCACAGAAGAGGCGGCAGGCCGTCTCTGGCCCCGGGGCTGGGCTGCGCCAGCCCCTGTTCTGGAGGAAGGAGGTAAGTGAAGACAGAGAATAGGGGCACAGGTCTCCTGCTGTCTGGAAGCAGAGGGGCCCTGCGGAACTTCTGAAAATGCCCCAGACCCAAAGAGCAACACTCCTACGCCTTTTTCTGACACATTAGGACACATCTTGCCAACAGACGCCCAAATATAAACGGAAATCCAGTTTACAGCTCTGGTGGCTGGACGCTGACACGCTGAGTGTGGTGCCGTGGGAAGGAGATTTCTCATATTCGTATCTCAAACCGGCATCATGAAGATGAATGGTGGGATTCGTGCTGTAATTTAAAATTTTCTGGGGCGCCTGGGTGACTCAGTCAGCTAAGGGGCTGACTTTGACTCAGGTCACCATCTCACGGTTTGTGAGTTTGAGCCTCGCGTCCGGCTCTGTGCTGTCAGCCCCACTTCAGATCCTCTAACTCCCCCTCTGTCTGCCCCTCCCCCGCTCTCTCTCTCTCTCTCTCTCTCTCTCTCTCTCGAAAATAAGTAAACATTATTATTTTTTTTTAATTTTCGGTGCTTGGACCGACACTAAATAGCAAATAAAAACAAAGGAGAAAAAGGAAGAAAGGAAACGCTCGGCATCAGTGCCTCCGTATACATTTCACTGCTTGCTGGCGAGAGGCACGCCTTCTGCACTGCCGTGGGCCTGCGATGAGGCAGCAGGCCCTGTGTGCGGGGCAGGAGGAATGAAGTGTGCAAGGCTGCCTAGAGGAAGGAACGCTTGACCTGGGTCTTGAAAATCAGTAGGGGTCTCCAGGCAGAGCAGCCTGTCCGAAATGAGCAGAAGGAACAGCAAAAGTCCCCACCTGGGCTCATAAACACGCGTGGTTGTCTGCTCGGGCTGCACGGTGCGGTGATTCAGAAGATACACATATCTGCTCCTTATCCACGGTTCCTGGCCCACAGCTCTCAAATCTTGGGATTTCCTGGGCAATAAGAGCAATCTTTGTTACAATGCGTGGTCTCTTGTCCTCAGTTCCTAAAGTCGCTTCCCAGCCGTAAAGGTGCAATGGTTGTCTTTTTCTCCATAACAAGCCCCTTTCCACCCCAACTGGGTTTCTGTTCACGAGATGGCTGTCGGACAGTATGTAAGGAGGGGGCTGGTTGCCAAGGAAACCAACCGGGTGATCAGGGAGTTGAAGCTTTCAGTCCCGCCCCTTACTTTCTGGGGAGGGGAGAGGGTGGAGGTTGAACGGATCACCAATGGCCGGTGAGTTTATCAATTGTGCCTAGGTGGTGAAGGCTCCGTAAAAATCCCCAAAGGAGGGGATTTGAGAACTTCCAGGTTGCTGAACCAGAATGCGTCCATGTGCCCCTGTGCCCGGCCCCACACTCTCCACACGGACGGCGGCTCCTTTGCTTGGGACCTCACCCCACTCCTGTCTCTTCATCTGGCTGTTGACCGATATCTTTTAAGATCTTTTGTAATAAACTGGCAATCTAGTGAGTCAATGGTTTCTCGAGTTCTGTGACCCTGCTCTAGCAAAGTAATCAACCCCAAGGAGGGGAGCATGGGAACCTCTGATTAACAGCCAGTGGTCTGAAGCCCGGGTGACAACCTGCATGTGTGACTGACTTCGGAAGGGGGGGCCGTTTTGTGCGACCGAGCCCCTAACTGTGGGGTCTGATGCTATCTCTGCATAGACCGTGTCAGAACTGAGTGGAATTGTAGGACACCCGGCTGGTGTTGCATGGCAAACCTCCCCCAACACAGCAGGGGAACTGACCCAAGGCCGCTGTCTTAACAAAATCCCAGAGGCTAGGTGGCTTAAACAAGAGAACTGTATTTCCTCAGAGTTCCAAAGGTTGGAGGTTCCTGGGTCAAGGTGCCAGCATTGTTGGTATCTCGTGAGAACTCTCTTCCGGACTTGTAGATGACCATCTTTTCACTGCATCGTCACATGGGCAGGAAGAGAGAGAGACAGAGAGAGCTCTGATGTCTCTTCTTCCAAAGGCACCGATCCCATCACGAGGGTCACACTCATGACCTCATCTAAACCTAATTATCCCACAAATGGCCTCGTCTCCAAATACCATCGCAGTGGGGGTTAGGGCACCAAAATGTGAATATAGGGGCACAAGTCAGTCCGTAGCAACATGCATGAAACGTTTGGGCAACAGTGAGAAGGCCTGTGTGGTGAGAAGGGGCACTAAGTAGATAGAGCTACAACAAAACGAGTGTCAGTTTGTAAAGATTCTGCGCCGTGAGAAGATTTAAACTTCACACAGGAAATAGAAGGCCTTGAAGTACGGTCAGCTGTGTTTTAGAATGAAACTCTGGCAGTGCATACAGGATACAGCATATGGGAGTTTGATTCAGACGTAAAGGCCCAGGGAAGTAGAAGTCAGCTAAGGTTATAGTTGGGCTCCCTGGAAAGGGGCAAGGGGACAGGGTGTGGACGGAATGTTCAAATGTCCGCGAATTTAGAATATTCTTCCATGAGTTTAGATCTTATTACTTTCACGGTAACCTTCCTAAAGGTCTATTATCATCCACTTTATTTTATTTTTTTTTAATTTTTTTTTCAACGTTTTTTTATTTATTTTTGGGACAGAGAGAGACAGAGCGTGAATGGGGGAGGGGCAGAGAGAGAGGGAGACACAGAATCGGAAACAGGCTCCAGGCTCCGAGCCATCAGCCCAGAGCCCGACGCGGGGCTCGAACTCACGGACCGCGAGATCGTGACCTGGCTGAAGTCGGACGCTTAACCGACTGTGCCACCCAGGCGCCCCTATTTTCATCCACTTTAACATTAAGTATACAGACTCTGGCTGACCTCAAAAGCAACCAAAGGGCTGTTCAAACATGAGCTAAAGGTAGTGAATGCTCACGAACTGTGTTGATCTCAAAGCCCGTGTTTCCAATGGATGCGGGCACCACCTGGTCTCCTCAAAACTGATCCGATAACAACGATTACAAGATAACATTCTGATAAAAATCAGGAACTATACCTGCTGGATTGTTTACTTTAGATCACAGCAGCAATCAGAAAACCGGAACCGGGATTATTTGTAAGTGACAGGAATGTGGGTCTGGAAAATCCATGAGAACCAAATTTAATAGTCAGCAGAGGAGTTCAGGAAGGTAATGTGGCACAACATGAACATAGAGGCACTGAGAGCTTTCATAATATAAATAACAGACGTAATAAAGAAAACATTCAATTTACAAGCATGACTAAAAAGATAATACCTAATAGGAAACCTAACAAAAATGTGCAAGACTGTGTCGTGAAGAGTTAACTCTGTGGGCTTGGGGTGTTCAAACCTGGCACACTCCAGAGAAAACAATGGCCCTTGACTGGCTCTTGGCAGAAAAACTCTAAGCCTTAGGAACATCCTGTCTGATAAGGATGCCTTTACCTGGGGTCTTGTGTGTGCTCACTGTGTGATCTGTGGTGACTGCCTGTTTTTGTTTGCTTGGGCTCTGGGCCATGCTGTGTCAATCTGATCTCTGGGGAGGCTGAAGATAGAGTGGCTAAGGTGCTCCACGCCTACATGATAGACCTCCAACAAACTTCCCGGGCACTAAGGCTCAGGTGGGCTTCCCTGACTGGCGCATGTTGTCACCTATCGTCACTGGGAGAATTAAACGCTGTCTGTGGGACTCCTCTGAGAGAGAACAACTGGAAACCTGCATCTGGTTTTTCCTGGACTCCACCTATGTGATTTTTTCCTTTGCTGATTTTAATCTGTATTCACTAGCTGTCATAATTCGTAACTGTGATTTAACTGTTTTTCTGTGTCCCATAAGTCCTGTTAGCAAATCATCAAACCTGAGGGCGACCTTGGGGATCCCTGACACAGTTGGTGTCCTAAATGGGATTGGCTGTACTGATCCTGACTTACTGAACCATGGTGAAAGTGCTCTTTGGGAAAAGGAAAGGTGACTGGGTGCGGTTGATTAATCTTTGGTATTTGAGTGGCTACTGAGTCCCCTGTGATATGAAACAATAGCGGTGCTGTGATCATTTACTAGCCATAAAAATTATCGATGGAATTTAGTATTGACAGACCCAAATCCTGAGAATTTGCCTCACTAGATACATAAGGAAATGCAAAACAGTGAGAAACAAACTAAATATACAATTCTTTGGTGGTGGTTGTCTGCAAAGAGAGGGGGCTGTCCTTCCCCAAGCTCTGACAAGATGGCGGAAGTGGAGCAGAAGGAGCAGCGGGCTTTGCGTAAGTTCACCTACCATGACATGACCTTGGCCAGCTGCTAGGTGTGTCCCTGAGCCATTGATGCAGCTGTACAGCACCCTACAGTGGCAGAGGCTGAACCGGAGCCTATGGGGGAAGCATCACTCACTGCTGCTGTCTAAGGCCAAGAAGGAGGCTCCCTTCATGAGAAGCCCAAGGTGGTTAAGGACACACCTGCGGGACATGGTCATCCTGCCTGAGATGGGGGTTGTCTACAATGGCAAGATCTTCAACCAGGTTGAAATCAAACCCAAGATGATTGGCCACTACCTGGGTGAGTTCTCCATCACCTACAAGCCTATGAAGCATGGCAGGCCTGGCACGGAGGCCACTCACTCCTCAAGCTACATCCTTCTCAAGTAGCCTGTTTGGCCAATAAAGGCACAGACTTTTATAAAAAGAAGAAGAAGAAGAAGAAGAAGAAGAAGAAGAAGAAGAAGAAGAGTGGAGATAAAGTGAAAGAGAGGGTTCGGTGGGGAACTTCACCCTGTGCCAAGCTTGTATTTCCGCTGATCTGAGCCACAGCTGCTAGCTTCTAGAATGCTACCAAAGGGGGAAAATTATGTTGGAACAACAGATAACAAGCACTTCTAAGGAATTCTGGCCACCAACAGGGCAGTCCAGGTGGCAGGGGGACAAAATTAAGAAATTATTGAAAAAAAAAAAAAAGAAATTATTGAAACTGCGGCGTATGATGTGATGGAGTTGTTCCATTATGTCCTCAGCTTCCCCTCTTGGGTTTCACAGGTGCTAACACAATTAGAGTAACCCACAAGAGGATGGGGGATAACAAAGGAGAGTCGAGGGACTTTCCCCAGCAGCATAGATGTATTTAAACAGTTATTAAGAAATGGGATGAATAAAGCTGAAACAAATGTCTTAATGCAGCACTGGCGGAGGTTGCTGCCAGTCCCCCCACAGTGAAAATCTCTTTTTAAAAAAATCTGCTCCATTTACCTTAGTTTGAAGGAATTGGAAACGCCAGAAGGCAGATGATGATGAGAAATCTAAGCTTGAATCACTGGGGGTGATGGTCCAGCAAATCAATTGTGATCAGGATTATTGAAAGAGTCAGGGACTTTTGACCCAATCTCCAGCTACAGCGCGGAGGCCACCTGCATATGTGTGGGTAGGATAATCAGGTACTGGAGACACCTTGATGTGGGACCCCAATGCACCCTGATTCCCAAATCTGGTGATGAGGTCTTGATGGGCCTACGGTTACATTGGAAGGATATGAGGATGCCATGGTTGACAGGTTGATGGGGTTAAGGCGACAGTTTAGAGGAAAATTGGAATGTTTGAATGGACTTCATGTGAAGCGGTGGCATTTCCTCTACCTGGACGTGTGAATTGATGGATATTATGTCTGACGAGGAGCCACTTTTTCCACCTAGTATTGAAAACCAGACTAATAACTGTACATGCTAATGGAAACTATAGAATTGCTTAAGCCCATGCAGTTCGTTAATTTAAAACCATATTGCACACCTGGGGACAAAAGAGATGATCACTTTAATTAATGACACGTTAGAAGCTGGATTGAGGGTACCCAAGTTCTCTGCAAGATAGCACTGTGTGGCCCTTGGAGAAGGAGGGTGGCTCTCAGAGCTGAGCCTAGGCTGGCGCTTATGACAAAAGTACGTGAGCACCACCCAGTGGTGGCCACTGGGATTCGGGACCAGAACATTTCCAAATACAAGCTGAGACCGTTAACAGCTTGTCATCCGACATCAATTGAAACTGCCCCAATGACTGCAGATGTAAATAACCTTGGACCCTGAAATATGCAGAATATGTTGGATGGATGTCAGAGGCACACTTCAATAATGAAGGCAGTGACCTGAGGAGTTCCATAATAATACAGAAGTTGTTTACACAGGAGCATGCTGCTGGGGGAGCAGGGTGGTGCTCCTGTTCATCTGCAGGTGGCCTTTTTCTGGCTAGGGCCAACTTTGGAACCGCCTCCAGGAGCTGTGGGTCTGCAGCTCTCCGTTACCAACAAACAGCAGTTTGTTTTATAGATGGCAACTCCAAGGTCAAGCTTCCCAGCATCGCCCTAGTTGGAAGGTCAGTGCACCTCAATTGACTGTTGGAAACACTCCAGTGGAAGGGCAAATCATCTCTGTGTGCTGAAATGCCTGCGGTTTCCTTCGTTGTGATGGAAGAATGGAACAATGAGCAATGAGTCCCTCCGTGTGAGTTTTTACTGACTCATGGGCAACGGCCAGTGGTTCAGCCATATGGTCAGGCCGATGGGCCATGGAGAACTGGACAACTAAAGAGATGTCCGTGTCGGGCGTGGCCTATGAAGTCACATTAAATAGGACATGTTGAAGAACCCCATCTGAAGAACCCTATCTCAGGACTGGCAGGTGATTAGAACCGGCAAGCAGGTGTGCTGGTGAGCTCACAAGAGACGACCACTTCGGTCTGTTGAAATGAATGAACGTGGATGCAGAGATGTGCGGACCATCTACATATTCCTCTTGCAGCTTCAGAGCCACAAAATGCAAGTAAGAACTGTCCCCACTGCCAGTGCGAGAGACAGGCTGCAGATTCCCCCGGGGGGAGGAGACCTACCTGCAGCTGGCAAGTCCTGGGACCACGACCGGTAGCCCCGGGGGCCGTAATGGGTCCCGCCGGTAACAGACACTGGGTCTGGACCGGAGTTTGCCCACCTGATGGTGTAGACACGAATGCTCACACGGTAGTGCACCTGCCACGGTGACTGCACAGTCACATTTCTCCAGGTCAAGGCGCACACTCTCTAGTGCATGTATGGCCGAGCGCGGCTCATCCCATGGCCGTGGCACGCCGCATACCGGCCTCAGAGCCGCTGTCTGACAGAGGATTGAAGTGGGCAACGCAAATGTTTCCTGTCTCGCGGGGGAGACACAAGGCATGGAGGGCTGGCTTACACGCCTCCCGAGTGTGTGCTCACGCTCGGCACGAGAAGCCTGAGGGAGGGGCTGGTGCAGAGCCGTGGGGGATGCTGGGTAATTGTTCCCCATCACTTCAACTTTCTCTTCTGCTGGACGCGGGGGTCCTGGGACCAGGAGTGCAACGGCACGTGCAGGGAGCAGGAAGGAGCTGTCGCTGTGTCTTCAAACCCACAAGCTGGAATCTCTGAGGGCCTGAGGTGGCTGTGCTGAGGGTGACAGAGTGCCACAGTGTGGCCCACAGCCCCTCTGGGAAGGCGGGTGCACCGAGGGGGAGGGACGTGTTGCACTGAGCCCCGGGCCAGCGCAGTGTTGGGAACGCCTCTCAATGTTGGGAACACTTGGCTTAAAATCTGCGACAGACGGAGAGAAGGAGAAAACGTGACTGAGGGCAAAGGAGTGAATGAATGACTTACACCAAGAGGGGAATCCAAGCGATGTCGGGGCGTGAAGAAGTACCAGACGCCCGGGAGGGTGAACTCACACGTGGGTTCCAGACTCCTGACCAGCTCAGACCGCAGCCTGCAGCCTGGTGACCTCTCTCCGGTCACACGACGTGATGTGAGCAGGACCGACTCCTGTCCCAGCGGAACCCCAGGGATACGCCAGCTTCTTGGCTCCTCTTTTTAGGTTACATTTACGGCGGAGGCGTTGGCAAAGGAGTGTGTGGGAGCCGCTCCCCACCACCGCTGTGTGACCTCCAACTCCTGGCAGATGATTGTGTGTGACCACAAACCTTGGGGACCGGCTACTTAGAGAGGCTCCTAGTAGCCATGGACATGGAACATCAGTGGCACACCTGTTGCGACACATGCGTATAGGCCTGTGTCACCCGTTTCCTGGGGACGGGTGGCTGTTAGAATAGGAAAACCAGTGGGTTCCTGATGGCATTGAAACAATGGGGATCACGTGGGGGCTCCTCCGATCCCCCGGAGGGGGGTAGTCCACCCTGAACATGGAAAGCAGCAGGAGGCCTTGTGGCCTACTCAGACTGAGTAGGTCATGATCTCATGGTTCATGGGACAGAGCCCTGAGTCGGGCTCTGCTCTGACAGCACAGAGCCTGCTCGGGATTCTCTCTCTCCTCTCTCTCTGCCCTTCTCCCACTCTCGTGCACATGCTCTCTCTCTCTCTCTCTCTCAATAAACTTTAAATAAATAAATAAATAAATAAATAAATAACATCTCGACGTGGTCACTGCTCATCTGACACTATGACAGGGACCCGACATTCCCGGGTATCATTTTCGAGTAACATTTTTGGTACAGAACGTGTACCAGTTGCACTCAGGCTGTTAGTCTGCAACAGCAGCAGCGTTTCCGGTGGATTAACTACCACTGGCCCACAGACAGAACAGGGAGAAAGGTTAAGGGCTGGGATTCAGCCCAGAAAGGCGATAAGGTGTCTGCGGTGTGGGCCGGGCAGGGTCGACAAATAGTGCTGGGCAAGGCTAGCACCCGGCTTTGGGGAAGTGCTTGCACTCTGACCCAGCAGGGCCTCTTGACTATTTTATTCCAGACAGTGTCAGAATCTGGACCCTCAAACCTGTAGAGCCCCCGGGGCCCTTGTAACTTACACCTGTGCCCTGTGGCTGCCCTTGACCCCAGAAAGATCAGAGTGAGACACATCCTGCTGTACCGTTATCAAGGAAAGGGACCAGTCTGAACACCAGCCAGGCCCCTGCTGGAGAACAGCACACAGTGGAAACCAGTCTCAGCACAAGCCTGTAAACTGGGCAAGGGTGAGTAGCTTCATCGCCCGCTGACTTGGAATCCAGAAATAACCGAGTCATGGCTAGTTGTACTGACACTTGCCCGTGATAGTAGCTGGCACATGGGCATGGGTCTGTTCTGTTGAGAAGGCACAGTCGATGGCTTGGATTTGTTCTTTAACGAAGAACCATGGCCGTCCTGCGACACGGCGTCATGCTGCCTTGTTAGATTATCATAAGGTACAAATAGCAGTGGATGGGGGGGGGGGCAAGTCATTAGATTAATACAGAAATTTGAAAATGTTGCTTCTTTCGATCTATGACTACCCCACAGGTCTCCACCAAGTGTTGGGCATATTTCCACTGAGATTTCTCCTGTTACATAAATGCTACGCTAAATGGAGATGTTTGGACAAATAGGATCGTTCTGCTATACAAGAGTCTAGACTGAGTGTCGGTGGGTGGCCTGTGCAGTAAAGGGTTAATTCAGGGGGCTTGGGATGCCCTGCTCACCCCACAGCAACGGCCCTGGCGGGCCCTCACCTTTGTATCCCGCAGTCATGCTGCACTTACTAATTAGCCCTCCCAGTTTCTGTGCAGACTTCGTCATTTCGATTTCTGTACAAACATATCCCCACTTTCATTTCAGGTTTTAGTAGTTTGAGGTCTTCCTTATTTTTTTTCTTAGTCCTTCTAGCTGAAAGCTTGTCA